TTTAGCTGTTTAGTGTGCGTGCAATCTTGGGCGATCTGGTAGCATTCCTGGGCGGTGTGCGGCTCGCCTCGAATGTTGAATATTCCCCAATGGTGAGAAATTTGATTACTTGATAGAAGCTTGAGCGGACGGCCCGCATGACATGTATCCATGGACATCCTATGATGGCATTATAAGCTGTTTCCTGGTCCATGACGTGGAACGTGGTTTCCAGCATGACTCCCCTTGCCAGGAATAGCAGTGCTATTTCTCCGGATGTCCGCTCTACTGCATTGTTAAAACCCATTAGTGTTATGCAATGCGGTATTATCTTATCTTTGAGACTCATTTGCATGAGAACTCTCGGGTGGATAATATATGCGCCGCTTCCGTCATTTACCATGATTCTTTTCACATCTGTATCAGCGATGCGTAACGTTATAACTAAAACATCGTAATGGGGGAAAGACAAACCGTCGGTATCTAACTTATCGAAGGTGATACTATCTTCGAAGTCATCATACCGTTCGTGAGCAATCGTACGCTTCAACTTGTGTGTGGTGGTGAACTTTACGTGGTTGATCACCGAGTTGTCCCCACCGCCGATGATCATCTGTATGGTGTGCGACGGTGGCTTTGGCGGTCCTTAGGATGGGTTGCGTCCTCGGGCGAAATTAGCTCTTCCTTTATCGCTGAGTAGTTCTTTCAGGTATCCCTGGTTCAACATTCTGACCACCTCCTGTCGTAAAACTATGCAATCTTCGGTCTTGTGTCCTCTTTGTTGATGGAATTCGCAGAGGACATTCGACCTTCTTACACTTGGGTCCGATTTCATTTTTTGTGGCCACTGCACCTTCGTGCCTAGCTTCTCTAGTGCGTACACTATTTTTGAGGGGGAAACACAAAATTTTTGAGCAGATAATAATGGAGGCATACCTCTTTCGTTTCTAAGTGGTGCGATGTGTCGTGGCACGACATCTGTATGCCTCGGGGGAGGCGGATTGGAAGTTCTGACATAGGGCTGATGTCTTTCCCTGTTGAAGCGCGGGAGTTCATCCCTCCGCCCGTCATTACGTCGATCCCTCCTTACCTCGGACTGTATTGACGTTAGTCGCTGGGTTGGCCATTGAGATCGTCTTCATCTGCTCTTACTTCGGCGCAGTAGGCGTTATGAATCTCTTCCCATGTGGTGGGGGATACTTCATCAGTCTGCTGAGCAATTTCTTGGTTGCCTTTGATCTGTTTCTGCTCAACCCGTTTTGGAAGGCTGTGACCGCCATTCCTTCTGACACATTTGGCAGTCCCATTCTTACCCTGTTGAATCGGGCCAGGAAGTCTTGGAGTCCTTAACCCGCCGTTTGCCTGATGGCGAAGATGTCGTTGACCCTAGCTTCGGCCTTCTTTGCTCCTATATGAGAGGTGGCGAATTTATCCACCATCTCCTCGAAGGTTGATATCGACCGCGCCTGTAGCTGAGAATACCACGTTAATGCTCCTCCTGTCAAAGTTTCGCCAAACTTTTTCAGCAGTACGGATGGCACTTGTTCTTTTGACAAGTCATTGCCTTTCACAGCGATGACGTAATGGATTAGATGATCTTCTGGATCCGTGGTCCCGTCGTATATTTTCAAGTATGGTGGCATTTTGAAGGTTTTTGCGATGGGATAAGGAGCAGCTTCCTCACTATATTGTTCGACAAACCTTCCCACATCGCGTTTTGGCAGCAGCTTAGGGGAGCCAAGTATCTTGTCAACCCTTTCCTGGTGTTCTTTCATTTGACCACGAAGCACTTTATTCTCGTTTTTCATTTTTTCCATTTTCTTTAAGATGGTTGCGAGTGAATCATCACTTGCGTCGATTACGGTGTGGGTGTTGCTCGTTCGTACAGTGCTTGGTTCGCCAGTGACAGCAGCGATTTCTGCCGTTGGTGAATCTTCGGTATTTTCTTGAGGGGGTTTTTCGAGCATGTTGCTTAGAGTGTTCATTAACCATTCCTCTAGCAGCTTTTTGACTGTTGGAGGTGTTTCTTTCGCTGTGGACGTAGAAGCTCCTCTTTCATGCAAGATCGTCAGATCCTCGAGTGGTAAGGGTGAGATCTCTCCCTCCGGTATATTTCTTGGTGTTACATTCTCGGTATCTTCTCTACCGGCTTCGTTGAGGAAGTCTATGAGGTTATTCGAGACATTTGCTATCATTTTCAACCTTGTTTCTTTTTCTGCCATCGTTGGTTTCTATGGAATCTGAAGAGTAGTGACTGTTGTTCTTGATATCCCAGGTGAGAACTATGATTTCAACTACTGAAATCCCCACAGACGGCGCTAAATTGTTTGACTCAAAAGAAACTAAACTCTTTATAAGCAAATCAATCAAAAGAGATGAAAGGGGTAAATCGTAATCGAAGATAATATACCTTAGGATAACTTGAACAATCGGAATAGCAATAACAGTAGAAAAGAAGAAGAGGGAGAGAAGTAGAGAGATAAAGAAGAGAGAGAGAGTGAGTGACCTTTGTATATTAAAAAATCCTCCCCTAATTACAAGGCTCGGATCCCCTTTATATAATAGAGGATCCTTAGTTATAGAAACGACAAAATCAGAATACATTTTACAGTGGGGCCGACAATGACGTCGAGGTTGTTTCTTCTCTTGCCCCCTGGTCGTCCCCATGTATCGACTCGTGGGGACGGTGGTTGGTTGTGTCGACTTTGGGATGTGACCGAGCAAATTCGACCCCATAAGCAAATGTATAACTTAGGCCTCATAAACTCAAAGTAGAGAACATCAAGTTCATGATAGGTCCTTTGATGCCTAAACGTACGGCATGGGAAAAACAATAATGCACGTTAAGTCAGAAAATTGACTTATGTAAACAATCATATCGATACTAGTAAATCATATTTTTAGCTAGATTGAAGAAACTCTTCTTAGATAGCATCATATTAGACCAAATCTAGTCATATCCAAGGAGAATGAACTTGTTTATGCTCCCTCAAGAGTCTTGAGTCAGTAAACTAGGACCTAACGACTCAAATCCAAATAAGATACCATTCTAGTGGTATGATCACTTTCTTAACGCAAGCAAGGTTGATGAAATAGACCTTTTCAAAGGCATCAAGTTAAGAAATATGTACTAAATGGCAAAAGGTGTTAGTGAGATCATGTGTGGCCGCTATGCACAATGACGGACATGCCAGTTTTCGGAGTGAGATATTCAAAAATAGCTACAATTTTAAAAGTAATCGAAATATATGCATTTTTCATGTAAAGATAAATCTGAATGAAAATACTGTTCAAAATCCGTAAAAATACTCCAGTCCAGCATAATATACTGGAGATTGAAGCATCGGTGCTCCAATCTCAAGTATATTATACTGGAACTTTCCGCGTGTTGGATTTGAAGCATAATATGCTAGAAGTTCATATATAGGTGCATCAATCTCCAGTATATTATACTGGAACTTTTCGTGTTACAGCAAAATAGTGGCTTTCAATGACTTTGCAAATGCTGGCTATTTTTGAATGACCAGTCCGAAAACTTACTAGCCCGTGCTATTTTTACGTTTTCGGACTGGTAATTGAAAAATAACCAGCATTTGCAAAGTCATTGAAAAATAGCCACTATTTTGCTGCAACACGAAAAATTCCAGCATATTATGAAATTCCAGCATGTTATGCTGGAAGTTCACATGTAAAAAAATCGGATTTTGAACAGTGTTTTTGTTCTGATTTATCTTTACATGAAAAATGACAAAATTTCCATTACTTTTGAAATTATGACTATTTTTCAATTATCGCTTGTAAATTTGACTATTTTTTAATTTCACCCGTACTTATCAGGGCACATGGTGTAGATGACATGGCCCGCTCGTGCCCAACGAGCATGCCTGGTTACCCTACTCATCTAAAAGTCATTTGACAGCTTGCTCGCCCTGGAAACGACTTGGGTCCAAAAATTAGAAGAGTACCGCACTCCAGATGATGTCTGGTATGATTTTAGATGAATTGTACTATTGATTTTAGATGCTCGGTGTAATATCCAGCATTGAGCAATCAAAGCTAAAGTTGAAGAAACCGTCGAAATATCAAGGATAAGAAACACCTCCCCTTCCTTATAACAAAAAAAAAGTAGAAATATCAGGCTTTCGTAAACAAAAGGACAGTTCAAAAAGTCGAAGCAAATTTCGAGTAGCACGAGGGAGGACAACTTGAAAGATTTGAAATTAGAGAAAAAGTCGTTCCAGAAACAGAAAATATTTCACGTCTTAATTTGTCATAGACATAGGACGTCTCTTTTTATCTCTTTTAAAAGCATTATTATCATTTTAGTCCGCACTATAAACTATTTACATCTGGTACCCGAAAAAGTATATAAAACTTGTATAATTTTTGTATATAACATATACAATGTATATATATACAAAAAATATAAATTTTATACATTTTTTCGGCTATTATTTTTACAGCGGCTATACAATGTCTTTTTTCCATCAATATTCCAGAAAACTCTTTGCCTTCACATTCAAGAAAGAAACCCTAGAAAACAACTGCTCTAGTTAGCAAACTTGAGTACAATTTCTTCACAAATTCACACATTTTAATCCTTATAGGAGGCTCCCAAATGTAATCACACCAAAGACTAACTAATGATTTAATAAAGTAAACTTGAATAGAATGAGACTCCAAGCTTTAAGGACCACAGGACTAAAAGCATATATAATTTTCTTTGTTGAAGATCACATGCAGAGTATAGCAAGACTATTACTGGGAACCATGTGCATATATATGCACACTTGGTTTGATCGACAATAATCTATGATAAAAAACTTTATACTATTTTATAGTCAGTAATATGTGCCAAATAATAGTACGAACGATTTTGAGCCACCAGAGCCGGAAAAGATGATGGGGGGCCACAAACTCATAGCTGTAGCTGTTATGTTACAGTTATGGTCACTCTTCTCCACTCAGTATTATAAAGAAATACTCCAATCATATTTGCCATCAAGAGACAAGCACGACTATATTTCTTTACCTTTTTTTACATACTGATTAAATCAAAACTCACCACAACCAGTCACAACAACAAAGGTATTCACAATTTCCAGAACTAACCTTCACCAAGTTTCTTAACTACAAGATTAGTAAAGTCTAATATTAATCCATGAATCCAGTTCTTTAGTACTCTCCTACTTTGAATCAAATCACAAACTTCACATCCTTCCCTTGGTTTTTTATACGACAAAAGAAACAAGAAAAATAAAATTAAAGAAAAAGCACGTCTATTCGTTAAGCCTTTTACCCATATATATCTGTAGCCATCATATCAACAAGTTCAGCAAGTTTCGTCATCTTTCAGATTTTAGCTCTGAATCTACACTTGGCATTGTCCCTTCACCTTCTAATGATAAAATAGGAAGCTTACATCTAGGACTCATCTTCTTCACTTCCTCACTCGAATATATAAATATCCTCTTGACCATCTTACAGAACTCCCTGCAATTAGAAAATTAAATCAAAACATTTAGTCAAAAGAAACACATATCGGAAAGCGTCTCTCTGCCCGTCTAGGGTAAGGGTAAGGGTAAGGCTGCGTACATCCTACCCTCCCCAGACCCCACTTATGGGATTATACTGGATTGTTGTTGTAGTCAAAAGAAACACAGATAAAAATCAAGTTGGTTGCAGAGACTCACAGCCATGGATCATCCCCCACAAGCATCATGTCACCCTCATCATCTGTATACACAACTTCCCATTTGTTTCGAGGGCAAAGCTCTCCCTTAATATCAAATATCTTCTCCAGTTCACTGATAAGATCATCATAACCACTTAAACCAGTCAAGTCAACAGCGCGTCCAACACGAACCCCTTGCATTTGCACCTAATATGGATAATCATATGTAAGCTTATAGGTAAGTAAGGTAAACAAGTGGTTTCAACAATCGAAAGAATGAACACAAACTATCTTTTGTACCTTAGTACGAGTTCTTGATGAAGTGACGCCCTGCTTATGTGTATCGTTCAGTAGTGCCTCCAATTGGACTTGTTTCTTTTCTTCAGAAGGATTTAGATGCTCTACATTTTGGTCCTTATCAACTTCGGATCCATCATGCACAGTAGGTGCGCCATCAGCGCAGTTGGATGTAACATTAGGTGGGTCTTTCTCACTGGTAGGGGTATTATTAGAGTTGTTCCGCAAGTCAATGCCAAATAAGCGACAAGTAGAAGAGATGGCATGCTTATTACCCCTATTCACTTGGTCAAGTAAAAGGCCGTTACTTGCCCTTGATGACATCGGAGAACCGTAATCCAACAGAATTGATTGTGCAGTCAGCTGCTTGTTGTCTTCAATAGAGTCTCGGAGCATATTGAGGGGACCATTTGCAAGCATGCTATGCTGCCAAGCTCCACTGAGATGAGTCCTACAGCTAGTGTTGCTCACGCCATTGGAGAGGCTGTTATTCTGCTCCGAAGACCAGTATAGTTGGTTATCAGCAACACTACCTAAGTGGCTCACTTCAAGAGTAGGACCAGATCCAGGGTACCAGAATGAAGAAGCAGCAGTGGCAGCTGAAATGTCTGTGACAAACCAATTATTGCAGAACTTTAATGACTGGGCTTGTAGAAGGGAAAAGAAAAAGTAAAACATGAGAGCCGGAGTTACTATATATATACCAGTGTGGGGAAGCTCAAGGGGACGAGGTCGTTTGATCTTTATTCCTGGTTGTGCAACATCTAAAGAAGTAGGAGCAACAAAAGGCTCTATCTCCCATGGCGAAACCCTGTCTGGCCTCACTATGGATGCTGGTTCATCCCATTGAATCTGTAAGGGCCAAAAATATAAACAAGTGCTAAACAAGACAATGAATGTGCCAAACTTTGCCAATTATGAATCCAAATATTCTTAACCTTCAATGATCGCCATTTAGATTCTGACCATTGCGAGGAAATGTCACCAACTCCAACTATCGTTCCTGTGAACCTGACAATTAAAACTCGTAGAAATCAAAATCTGCAACAGCAGCATGACCTACAAATTAACAAAAGGGAAGGAAGTGCACTAGATGAACCTTCTTTCAGGAGAATCTTCGCCTTCAAACCTCATCCTGAAACGCATACCTACTGAGAACCCATGACTCACAGCCTCCAGATACTTGTTTAATCCGATTATAAATTGGCTTGTCCTGATTGATGTCATACGGTATTAGAAGAATAAGAAAATGTCATATAGCATGCACATCTAAATAATATTCTGTGGCATCTACCAAAGAGATAGAGGAATACCTTGGCTTATAATATACAACAAACAGTGTTTGTGTTGTAATAGCATGAGATGCAGTCGCAAGAACACCAAGATGCATATTTTGGCTGGATATCACAGATTGTGGCATATGGCTTTGCTGCCGAGCAAGATGTCGAACCCCAACACGCAGATCTCCATTATCACCCCTGCGATATTTAAGACGTAAATCACGTTACTTTCATGGAAAATTACATATGATTGAATGGAATAAAAAATGAAGCAGCACCAGTTCTTAACAAATCGAGAGGGAGAGAGAGAGAGAGTTAGCACCTCAGGAATACAAAAGCATCACCGGCAACTAATCTCTTGGAAGTTACAAATGTACTCCATCCAGTAGTAAGCAAGTGTCTTCGAGGTTGGCCTGAATTTTCAGATAGATTAAGGAGCTAAGAAAATATACACGTATACCAAAAACTAAAATGCAGTTAAAAATATTATACCGGAAATTTTTTACAATGATCAATTCTTACTGAACATTAGTAAAAGTTACCTCTAAAGATATGCTTAAATCGCCACTCATACCCATGAAGATCTTTGGCGACCAAATCTTGGGTCGGAGTCGACTGAGTCATGTCCTGTTGATGCCACATACCAGTCCAAATATCAGAACATACAACCCTCTAAAAATTTGCTAAATGTAATCAAGTCTTAAGACTGGAAGAAAAAGAAATAGCCTTCCTCTCCAACCAATTTTGTTCTATAACATCAAGACAAATGGATCTTACACAACGATTACTGATATAGAAAGAATACGTAGTACATGTAGTTACTCAAACCCATTTCCTTCATCCATCTTTCTCAGAAAACAAAAGGGAGAGTGAAAACAAAGTTAAAGGACTACCAGTGGTGGGAGACATTCATTGGCGTGCTTCCGAAGAACAGAAAATCCTCCATGTGTGCTTGTATCTGATGCTGTTAAAATTTTACAGAACGAATGAACCGCATGTTTTGGCAGATCAGGTGGGCATGGATCAGGACTAGACGGTTCTTCTTGCTACAAGGAAGAAATTAAGGTAATCAGACACAGAATTTGTCAAACTAAAGAATCTAAATAGCAGTCATATTCAATAATTATTCAACCCTTCTAAAGAGAAAATTAAATTAGACGAGATTGATCTTTTATTTAGCATCCTATGCTTGATGCTTAAGAAAAGATTCAAAAAAAAAAAGCAATTACTACTGATAGTTACCATTGCCTCAGGGTGCAAAGTGATCTGGGCATAGACCTCATCAGTCTCTGTCTCTGCCTGTCAATTGAAGGGAAACGATCAATGTCTTTTTGTTTCCTTTTCTCCTTTAACCATAACAGGACATATGCAACAAATTCAATAAACAAAGCTTAGACTTAAGAATCAAGAACATACCAGTAACTGGACATGAACAACGCGACAGAGTATCTTTGAAGGAAGACTAAATTGAGGAATTTGTTGTTTCAGAGCTTGATTTGTCGATGCCTCTAACTACAAAAACAACAATCAATACACAACCATAGAAATTTTTTTCTTAAAAATAAAATAAAATAAAACTCCATAGCATCATATAAGGGGTTTGGAAAGAAATACTTGTTCTATGTGACCCTGTGGAAAGTAGTAAACTCGTTCTCCAGTCCTAGGAACATCCACTAAAGGCCCAGCACAAGCTTTCCACAGCTCTGTATACATATCATCACTTCCCATACCTACTCAAAACACAATTAACCAGCTAAAAAAATAAATTAAAACAAACCCACATAAATAAACATATAATTAAAAAAGTAATATGAGATGGTAGAGATATATTAAGCTTGCCTAAGAAATGAAGCGAAATCACATAGAAAGGCCAACTTTTTTCACTCAAATGAGCAAAAGAAAGTTGCTATTTAAGCTGGAGATTTAGCAAAGAAACCCAATAGGAAAAAGACTAAACTACAATTTTCATTTAAACCAAACTTATCCCAAATCAGAAATTTATTGATTTATGAAAATGATTAGCAAATTGCAGTAACTAAAGACTTATCCAGGTGCATAAATACAATTGAGAATTTCAAGAACAAAAAACAAAAGAAGAAGTAGAGAGTCAAGCTTTGCTACCCCTTCTTAGAAAACAACAACATTTCACAAAAACCCATAAAACAAACAAGAAAAAAGCAATTCTTTTTCACCTGTATTTTAACTTTCTATACCGCAGAGGCTCCTCTAAGAACTTCTACCTGAACCATTAAAGGCGAAATTTACAATACAATACAAGAGAGTAACCCAACAAAAAGGGCTGCTAACAACAAAGCTTGAAGAAGAAACCTTTTAATGTTGTTCACGCACTTCAACATACCCCAAATTATCATCATTACAAATCCAAGCAAAAACCTCCAAAAATCCAAATTTTACTAACAAACAAAATATACTTAATCAGCTATTTTCTGCAAACTCCTCTTCTTTCTCTCTCTAAATGTAAACACAAATAAGTGTTATGTAACAGCTTTTGTGCTCTTTCTACAGCTATCTTTTTTTCAGTTACAAAACCACTCTTTAGCTTCAGTCTTCTTAGTAGGATCCAATACCACTTTTTTGGGTTGTCAAAAACCGGTTTTTCTTGGCCATTTTTATCACCTGGAATCAACAACGTTAGCAAATCCCCAAAATTTATCCACCCCTCTTTATTTCTCTCTCTCTTTATACACATAATATACATATTTTTTCGTCTTCACTCTATATACTAACTGAAAATGAAAAGCTTCTTTCACTGACTCACTGGGACATGCTCAGGTTAAAGCTTAACCCCAGTTAAGTATTTAACTCATTTTTTTTCTCTCTCTTTTTCATCACTCTTCTTTTTTATTATTATTAGAAGTACCTTCTTTTTCAGTTATAGACTTAGGAGTCGTTTGGTAGGGTGTATAAAAATGAATAAGGTGTACTAGTAATATATGGATTAGTAATGCAAGTATTAGTAATGCAAATATTATTTTTTATCTATTGTTGATGTGGTATATTAAAATTATAGTGCATTGCATAATTTTTAAGAAAACAATTATTCATCACTGGGTCTTCTCTAACTGACATAGGCAAATGGTGTGAATTTTTTCAATAACTGGGGAAATAACTTTCGGGAGTCTAGCTTGTATTTGGGGTCTGTGCCTTAAGTTAGGTCTAAATGATGGAACGTTTGGTCTATGTTTAATTAAGGATAAAACATTTTTGTTCTTCGTGGTATGAGAAGGTTTAATGAAAGCAATCTCATATTAAATGTTCTCTGATCGACTTTGTGCCAGCGATATTGGCGAAGTGGTAAAGAGAGCAAACAACACGCGCTATGATCTAGCAGCAGGAGTATTCACAAAGAACATTGACACGGCAAACACCTTGACCCTAACCCGAGGGCTAAGAGCTGGAACTAGGGGTGTGCATTCGATTTATCGATTCGATTTTGACCTTTATCGATAATTATTTATTGATTATCGATTTGTACATATGCTTATCGTTATCGTTTCTATAAGGTTTCGATTTTTTCGATTTCGAATTATCGATTTTTGGGGCTTATCAATTCGGTTATCGATTACACCAATAAGAAAATTTACGGGATTCCACAGAAAATATATCGCTATAAACACGCCTAACTAATATGGACAAAAAGAAGCTAAAATAAGACGAACACCGTTTTTAACATAAAAATTGTGTCAACAAGCACATGCAACGAAACTAAAGTAAGGGATCAAATGTATGTCACCAACACTCTAACGGTATAAAAAAAATAAAAATACATCATCACGGCTAATTCTATTTTCCATTAATTTGAACTTCATTCCCTTGAGCTTTAAATATGATCATTCCTTAAATGTGGTAGATGAAATAATAGGGTTAGAGACTTAGGGTAAAGGAAAGGGTATTATAGAATAAGGGTAAAAAAAATATATATATCTTATCGGTTTAATCGATAAACCGATAACCGAAGAGGACAAAATCAAAATCGAAATCGATAACTCGATAAGAAAAATTTCGAAATTGAAATTGAAATCGATAAACCGATAACAAATAATCGATTCGATTTAGCGATAAACCGATTCGAATGCACACCCCTAGCTGGAACTGTGTGGGTTAACTGCTATGATGTATTTGATGCTGGGATTCCTTTTGGAGGGTTCCCCAGTGATTAAAATTATAATGCATTACATAATTTTTAAGAAAAATAATTATTTACAAAAATGTCCTCCATATTCTCTAGCTTTAAGGGACTTTAAGGACATTTTTGTCTTTAGCCATACTAATGCATGCATTAATAACATTGGTATTGCTAATGCCATGGTTTTGTTATGTATTACTTATGCATAGGATAATACCAAGTATGATGTATCACTAATGTAAGGCCCCGTGAAAACTTGTATTCAAAACCTAGTAGCTCGTAGTGCCAAGTTCCAAGTATTTCGGACCCTTTGTAATGACCTAGCATTTAAAAATCAAGAGTCAAGTTTTCCAGAAAAGTGCTATTATGCGGTCCAGAATGTTGTCGCAAATCAAGTATGCGGACCGCATTTCTGTCGCAAAGTAAGTGAGAATGTTAGTCAAAATTAAGGTCAAAATGCGGTCCATTATGCGATTGCATAACTGGTATGCGGACCGCATTTCTGCCGCAAACCCAAACAGAATGTTCGGAGTTTTGGAGCATTTTCGCGGTCCATTCTGCGGACCGCATTTCCTCTTTGCGATCGCAAAATGCAATCGCATACCTAACTCGGGGCTCCTATTTTTCTAAATTTTAAACCCGACCCCTTCTTCAATAAAACATCCCAACCCCTCATTTTAACATATTTTTTTAACAAACTAGAGAGAGGGAGGGAAGAATTCTTGAGAGAGAAAGTCTTGTCTCCATCAATTTGATTTTTCAAAGTCACCCAGACCGGGAAATTTCAAGTAATTACCTTCATCTTCGTTCTTGCAGGTAAAATCCCCAACCCTTTCCACCGGTTTTCAGATTTAAACAAAAAGGGGGATCCTCATGCATTAATTCTTGAAAATATGAGTTGAACCACACATGTATGTCCTTTAAAAACCTAAAATCTAGTAAGAGGAATTGGGTAGAAGTAAAAATTTGCAAAAGAGGGGTTGATAACCTAAGTAAGATCGGGTTGAGTTTGTGAACTTCAATTCTAAGTCATATTGTGTTAACTTGTGAACTAGATTGACGGTACTAGGCTGTTGGAGAATTGAAAGTAGAAGTTAAAAAGAGAATTCGACTCCACGTATGTATGACTAACTTTAACCTTTGTAAAGTCACCTTGTTTGGTGTACGAGTAATTGGTATGAGTTACTTATGTGGACTATTTGTGAATTCTTATGATTAATATGCCTTGAACGTTATTGGTTAAGTTTCCCGATATAATGGTGTAAGTAAACGGCAACAAACCAAATGTGTGTGTGTGTGTGTGGATGTGTTTATGTGGTAAGAGATGTGTAACAAATAATGGAAGAAAATCGTAATTGATGCAATTGAAACAACTGTGGTAGTATCATATGTGACTTGTCGTGGGCAATTATCGTTGTGACAATTGTATACGTGCTGTTGTATATGATGAAAATGGTATTGATATTTATGAAAATTCCTTGTGAATTATTGTTGTTGTTGTGTGAAATGTGATTGTCCGGTGGGATCGGGTTGCGCGCCGCAACACGAAGTTATAAGGTGTGGGTTGTGGTGATAAGGATGGCCGAGGTAATAAGGGTGACCGAGGTAATAATGGTGGAAAATGATCGAAATCACTATTGAAATGAAAATATGTGAAAATATGTGATGAAATAATTTTGAAAGGGGAAAGGAGAGATTGTGAAACTTGTTTGGTTTTGGTTGTTCCTTTCATGTGCTTTTGATTGTTGATTCTATTACTGTTTGTTATCTGTGTATTGATTAATTTTACTTGGGGTAAAGTTTGTTCATACATACTAGTACAATTCAAATGTACTGACGTCCCTTTTGCCGGGGGCGCTACATTCGTGTTATGATTGTAGGTGGTTCTACAGCAGGTACTCCAGTCCACCGACAGTAGCACTCCTTCACTTCCCGTCAGCTGAATTGGTGAGCCCCTTTCCTCTCGGGGCCCTGCGTGGCTCATGCCGCTTTCCTTCCGGAGTCTTATTCTGGTATTTGTGTAAGGTATAGCCGGAGCCTTGTTACCAGTAAGTATTGTATCACCCTTTTGTATCCTTAGAGGCTCCGTAGGCAGGAAATGTGGGTTATATACTTATGTATTTTGTATCCGGACAGTGTAACTTGTGAACCACGTAAGTAACTATATATGTTATGTAGATCTCGTAAGAATGTGTTTAAATTATAAATGGTTATTACGCTTGGTTAATGGGTAATGAAAATGCGGGGTAACACGTGGGGTAGGAAAGGCACCCAGGTCCGCTTGACTGGGGCTACCCGGTCGAGCGCCGGTCATGTCCCTCGATTTTGGGGCGTGACAACTAATACAAGTATTAGTTATACACAAGTTGAAAAAATGTATCAAACAAGGTATAAGTAATGTATAAAGCTAATGTTTGCATTATTTTTTCTAATATCTCCTACCAAACGACCCCTTATGGGTAATGGATAATGGAAAGGATTTTATTTTTAAATTTGACGATTTTGCCCACGCACCCTCTTCAACTATCTTTTCACTTTTTTTTCAAAAATTTCATGCATCAAATTTAGTATATTTAAGTGAAAATTTTAATATTAAATTATAGTATATTCTTTTATTTATATTTTCTCTTAAGCAGTTTTGCTACGTGTTTTTACTGTGAAAATAAATCATTTAAAGGTCAATCATAATCTCCTATGCATATCATGTTGCAATCCATTTAAAAAATGGAAGGGCTAATTTATCTTCATTTATAAGTTGTAACTGCTAATGAGAATAGGGAACGAAAAATGCAATAATACAATGGCTTGTAATTTATTTATTTAATAAGATAATTATTAAAAGACCCAGTTTCGGTTTCATTCATTCGATAATAACAAATGGAAGTGAATTTGGAGCTCTATAAACAGTAGGGGTATATTAGTCATTCAAATTCTTAGCATGGGATGGTGTATTTGACTTTAATACATCAGCTGGAAGGCCAGTTTTCTTATGCAAGTCCTTTCTAAAAGCAGCTTAAATTATAGCCCGTTTGGACATAATTTTTTTTTTTTCGAAATCAGTATTTGGCAATAGATTTTTCAATTTTCACTTAAAGACAAATTTAGAAAAATTTTCAAAAATTTTAAAAACTCCAAAAAGTTATTTTTCAAAATTTTCATTCATATCACCTCTAAAACTTCAAAAACAACCCAAAATTATATTCATGTCCAAACACAATTCTAATTTTCAAATAATATTTTTACTCGAAACTTTTTCTTTTTTTACTTTTTTTTGGAATTTTATAATTCTTATGTCCAAATGCCCACTTAGTCTGAGCATATATTTTTAAACTTGCTAGGCAATGAGGTATAAAGAAAACAAAACAACGTACATATTGTTAACTCATCGAATCCCGCAAATTCAAATCAATCAAAAGTTTACTTTTTATACAGGAAAAATATAAAGAAGCAGCGTTAATTCTTAAGGTTCGTTAATTCACATTTTCCTTTTGATTACCAAGCTACTAATGTGGAATTGCTCATTAAAATGAGAGCAATTTGTATAGTTCTGTAACGTAACAAAA